GGCTTTTGGGAGGTGATGGGATAACAGAGACAGTATATTCATCAGCGGAGGATGTGGGTCACTGAAAGGGTGGCCTGAAGAGTCTATCTCCCTCCTTCCTTGTTAGCCATCTTCTTCCTGCTGCCTCCTCACCCCTCACCCTTGCTGCCTGCCTTGGAGCCAGCTGACTATGGACTAAAACCACTACAAACTCTGAGGCATAAACCTATTCTTCCTTAAATTGTAGGTGTCAGATACTTTGTTCTAGCAACAAAGAAAGGAACTAAGACGCCTTTCAAAACAACAACATAAACAAAAAGCGGGTTTGGGGTGGCACGCCTATCATCCCAGCACTCAGAAGGCTGAGGCAGGAAGATCACCACCAGTTTGAGGGCAGCCTTAAAAGCATAGTGAGACCGTGTCTCAAAAAAAAAATTTTTTTTTTAATTTAAAAATCTTAAATCTGGGAAATGGCACATTGATCATAAAAAGGCCACATCTTGTCCAGATACTCTGCTGGATGCCCTGCCTGCCGGTCTTCACCCCTCTGCAGCACCCTCTCCTGCGGTCAGGCCCCCAGACAGAGGTGAGCCTGAAGAATGGAACAGATTGACAGAGATTCCTGTGGGAGCCAGCGGAGCAGGGGGAGATGCCCAAACTTTCATTCCTCTGCACATGTGACTTCTAACCCAGCCAAATTCAGATTCTGGTCCTGCAGGATCCTGCACTGCAGCCTTTAACCAGTTGGGATGCACAGATCCTCCTCTTTCCCTGCCGGGGTGGATCTACCTGCTGCCAGGTCCATAGTGAAAGGAAGTTAGGTTATTGGTGGTGTAACCTTGAAGGAGATATTGGTCTCCACCATGATGTTCCACCTCACCACAGCCCAAAGCCACAAGAGCGAGGTGCCTTGGAGGTGGTTCCTGCAGCCTCACAGAAGTTGCCCCAGCCGACGCCCTGAAGCTGTTTGTGCTGAAATCTGAAATGACAGGCTTTCTACGTTCGTAGACAAAGTCCTATACTTACAGGCTTTGGTGTACAAGAGAAGTTTGTGATGCCGGGACCTGAACTCCAGGCACAGCCTGCACCACCGAGCTACACCCTCAGCTGTGCATTTCCCAGTTTTCCATCCAGCCCAGGTAAAAGGGGAAGAGACGGGGGGGGGGGAAGACTAGGAAGGAAAAGAAAGATGAGAGCGAGGTAGAAGGAGGAAAAGTAAAGAAGAAGAGAAAGGAGGAGGAGGTGAGGGAGAAGGAGGAGGAGAAATATCCAAAGCAACCCTCGTCAGCAGCCAGTCAGCACTAAGCTGCGGTTGACAGTATCGCCACTCTCTGGGACAGAGCGCAGACCTCAGCATCGGCCCTGAGCCTTGGGTCTGTCTGGCTCAGGCATCAGACGTTTCGCGGGCTGTGGACGTTCCTTCTTCTTTCCCACGCTGGGAAGGAGGTTCTCAGCGGAGGAGCTGGTGAGGGGCTGGGGCCTGGCCAGCCAAACTGCTACTCGCCAGCTGCTTGACCTCAGGCAAATGACTTCTCCGCTCGGAGCCCTCTCTGCTCCTTGGCAATAAAGGAGCCGCGACTGGCTGCCGGGCACCTTGTGTCTTAGTTTGAGCTCCCCTGAAGCAAGGATTCAAGGGCAAATATCTCCCCTCGCGCATTGAACTAGGGGGATTGAATTCAGGACCTTGTGCTTGTAAGGCAGGCGGTGGCACCGCTGAGCTAAATCCCCAGCCCTCAAGTGCAAATATCTTACTGGGGACTGACTGGGAGTAAAGTTCTCCCTTCCTCCTCTTCAGTACCCACACGCACACCGCGTACACACACATATGCACACTCACGCATAGATACACGCGAATCTCGCACCCAAACACGATCACACACGGTCAACCAAATGCACATGCGGCCGCTCGTGCATACAGTCACACCCGCACGGGCTCAGAGGACGTGTGCACTTCGCCCTGTCAGGAAGAGAACCGGAGCCTGTTGTCTCAGAATCTGCCAGCAGAGGGAGCCACGGTCACACTTTATCGGGGAGTGAGTCTCAGAGCCTGGAGACCGATCCCCGCCGGGGTGTTTTAAGATTTACACCATGCAGTAGGCTGGGGATTTAGCTCAGTGGTTCCACCACCTGCCTTGCAAGCGCAAGGACCCGAGTTTCCAGGTACTGAAAAAGAAAATCAATCAAGACTTAACACTGTGCAGCCGGGCGTGGTGGCGCAAGCCTGTCATCCCAGCACTCGGGAGGCTGAGGCAGGAAGATCACTCTGTGAGTTTGAGACCAGCCTGGGCTACATAGTGAGTTCCAGGTCAGTCTCAACTACATAGTGAGACTCTGTCTCAAAACAAACAAACAAACAAACAAACAAACAAACAAAAGACTTACACTGTGCAATACAAATGGCCAAAAATGAAAAAGGCTCACGTTGCTGGCCGTTAGAGAAAAGCAAGCTAAAACAACACTGACATTCCATCTTATGCCTGAAAGGATGGGGGGAACCCCTTTCCATATTGTTGGTGGGGATGTCGTGGCGATTCCTCAAAAAAATAAGACTAGAAATTGCATTTGACCCAGCTATTCCCCTCCTATGCGTCTTCCTGAAAGAATTAAAGACATCATATTACAGTGATCCATGCATACCCATGTGTACAGCAGCATAAATCATAATAGCTAAATCTTGGAAGCAGCCTATATGTCCACCAACAGATGAACTGATATGAAAAATGTATTCACACACAGCAGAGTACTACTCTGCCATAAAGGACAAATTTGAGTCATCCGTGAGAAAATGGATGCACCTGGAGACCATAATGTTAAGTGAAGTAAATCAGGCTTAAATATCACATGGTTTCCTCTTATATGAGAAACCCAATGTGTAAATAGAGCAAAATAAAAGAAAGATAACAGGAAACAGGGAGATCTGTCTTTTGCAAATGGGAAAAGGATCTAGAGATGAAGGGTGGGGAGAGAGAGGGAGGAGAAAGGAGATGTATTTCTGGCTGCGGTGGTGCACACCCATAATCCCAGCACTTGGGAGGCTGAGGCAGGAGGATTGCCATGAGTTCAAGGCCAGCCTGGGTTACACAGTGAATTCAAGGCCAGTCTGAACTACACGGAGGGATCCTGCCTCAAAGAAAAAAGAGAATTAAAGTGTATTATATACATGTACAAACCCCTCATGAACAATGTGATTGATCACTGTATAATGGCAAACATGTACTAATAAAAAATAAAATACAAAAGAATCACACATGCAAGTGTAGCAGAGTAGTCTCGGGGAATCGGAAGCGCTCCACACTTCCCCGCACCCCGGCCCCATCCACTCTCACAGCCCTTGATGGAAACGAGTACTTTGCCAGCACAGTGAGCCCGTGAGAGCCACAGGGTGAGGGAAATCAGGCGCAGAGACAGGCAGCCGCCCGCTCAGTCACTGCTGGGACGGGTCAGCGCCGGAGGCTGAGCCCGCAGGACCGGGTTGGATGGCTGGTCGGTGGGCTGACTAGTTGGTCGGTTGGTTTTTGCTCCAAGATGATAGGACGCACCAAGGGGAGCAGGAGGCGTTTAGCAAAGGAAAGCGCGTGGAGGCCGTGGGAACCACGGTGAGAGCCGCGAGGCCAGCCAGAGGCAGGAGGGGAGCTCGGCTCTGCACACTCCCGTTCTGCCCCAGAGGACCTCGGAGCAGGGCTCCCACGGAGGTCCCAGGCCCTGTTGCTACCTGCTGCTGGGCAAAGAGAGACGCAGGGACTCAGGGGGAGCCTGGGGAGTGGGGCCACAAAGGGCTCAGGATCCCAGCTGAAACCCAGGCCAAAAGTATTGTTTGGAGGACTTGAGCTGCTTTCTCTGAGGTCCGTTTCCACCTCTGTTAAGAACAATGAACGAACCAAGAGTCGGGGTCTAGTGAGGCTATCCCGGAGGACGGGGCACCCATGACTCGGTCTTGAGCCCTGTTTTGTTTTGGGGCGAGTTCTTCGAGACCGTCTCGCTACGTTCAGGCTGGCCTTGAACTCTTGGCTATCCTCCTGCCTCAGCCTCCTCAGCGTGCGTCACCACGCCGTGCTAAAGCCTGTACCTTTGTCCCGTTGGCCACCCTCCCTCCATCCCGCTCCACTCCCCAGACCTAACCACCTCGGTCTCTCCTGTGTTAGCATCAGAGTTCTCCCGGACCTCCAGTACCACCCGCCTCATATTCACCCAGCACCAGGGGTCTCAAGTTTGCAGCACTTGCCACAGGCTGTAAATAATCAGAATTTTGTGTTCGATATCAGCGCCCCACCCCTTTCAAGATCAGGAATTGGGCCTGTCCTCTGGTAGACTTTAATGAATAACAATGTATTGACAAACTAAGCAAACCCACACACTTTCCCAAAACATCTGAGTTTATGTCCTAAATCAAACGGCTTCGCAGTCTCCCAACTCCCAGATTGCCTTCTTCCCACCCTGGCTCCAGACCGACTGGTCTGGACTAGGGGCTAGGAGACGGGAGGAGGTATCTGAAACCCCGTGCTTTTATTCTTCACAAATCAGAACACTAAGCAGCGGGTCTGTGAGCAGGGAAAGTAGGAAGAGGCTTGCTTTCGGGGATCTGGGTTTACAAAACAACTACAAAAGCAAACAGCCGGAGTCCTAGGATGACGCCTGAACCGTCTGTCCGTGTGAGGCGGAGCCCGGAGAAAGGCGATGTCCAGGTACACGGCCCTGACTCAGGTTCCAGCTTCCAAGTCAAGCTAGGTTCAGCCAGCCGGGGCTGGAGTCCAAGAGGAGAGTCTCAGGCCTTCCGCAGGCTCGGTAGGAGCAGCCTAGAGAGCTTGCTCCGAAGGGGCGTGGCCTGAAGACCCAATCCACGGAATCCAGGGGCAGGCCTTGAGCCCGAGGAGGCGGGACCGAACCTTTTCCCTCCAACAGGGGGGCAGATACAGAACTCAGGAGGCGGAGCCTCGTATTGAGGGGCGTGCCCGACAGTCTGCTCAGGAGGGACCCTTATCCTCTAGCAACAACCTGGACTTCCAGGGGTGTGATCTATGCCCTCAGTACTTTGGGGGCGGGGCCTGGGCCCTCAGGGGCGGGGCCTGGGCCTCCCTGGACGGGGCTTGGGGCCCCACGGGCGGCAGCGGCTCCACGTTGAGCCAGATGCCGTTCTCAGTGCGCAGGATGAGTTCGGGCTTTCTCCGCACCTTGCGAGTTCGATCCACACTCAGGCGGAAGCGTAGCAACGTGAGCGCCACAACCACGCGCATCTCCGCCATGGCGAAGCTCTGTCCGATGCAGTTCCTGTCGAAAGGGGTACGGGGGCTCAGGCCCAGCCGCCAAGGTGCCAGTAAAGGCTGGAAGGCTGAGGCAAGAGCTTCTGTTCCTAGGCTGCCCTGGCTGTTCCTCCCACGAGTGGCTGGGACTGGGGGAAATAGAGACCTTACCTGGGTCCTGCGGAAAAAGGCACATAGGCCAGCGGGGAGCGCTGCTGTGGGTTGTCTGGGTCAAAGCGGTAAGGGTTGTACACCTAGACAGGAACAGCCAAGGATAAGTGAGGTGGGGGTCGGCCCAGCCGCTCAGGCCTGGCCCCCACCCCCACCTCTAGGCATGAGTCGCTGGGAGACAGGGCCACCTCCTCATTCCACCCCACCCTCGCCGCTGTGCAACCTGGCCTACCTCCTGCAGCCCTCAGAGAGTTCCTTCCTCCCTCAAGGCCTTTGTACTTGCAGTTTCCTCTGCTTAGACCACACTTGTCCCTGCCCTGTGCACCCTTCAAGTCTGAGCTCAAAAATCTCTTCTTCAGAAAGGCCTTTCTGACCACTTGAACCGAAGCGCCCGTTTGCTCCACCATTTTTATTTCTGAGGCTGGTCAGTACCCCAGATGAGCTTATGTAAGTAGATGCTTATTGTCTCCTCCAGAAACTTCACTGCAAATGCCATGAAGGCAAGGGTGATGGCACTTGCAGTCCTCAGGGCCCAGCACAGGGCCTGGCACACAGTTGGTGCTCGGGAGCTGTTGTTGACCCACTGAATTAGCAAGGGGTGGGAGAGAGGATGAGAACCAGCTCTCATTCCCGGCCCCCAGGGATGTCCTTTCTGGGGAGGAAGAAGCTGAGGGCAGAGATGTTTGGGGCACATTATGGTTTAAAGAGTGACCCCCCCAACGCTTGTGTGCTCAGAAGGGGGGTCACTTGGAAGGTGACTGGATCAGAGCGCCGTAAGTGACGGTGGGTTGGTAGGGATGTGGCCAGGGGCGTGGCTTCTCCCCCGGCTCCTCCCTCCTTTCTGCTTCCTGGCCGCCTGGCCGCCAGCGGCTTTCCTCTGCCAGCCCCTTCCTACCACGCCACTTCTGCCTTGGAGCTGCCCAGCTATGGTCTGAGACGTCTAAAAACCATGAGCTCAAATAAGCCTCGCCTCCTTTAAGTCGCAGGTGTCAGTTATAGAGTCCCAGAGATGAAAAAGTTACTAAAACAGGGCAGGCACTCACACTGGAGTCGGGCCACACTGTGGGGTTGTGGTGGGTCCCATAGATGCTGACCAGGCAGATAATTCCTGTGGAGACAAGTGGAGTCAACAGGGATGAGAGGAGCCAGGGCCTCCTCCGGAAACATCCCCTTCTCCGGTTTTCCCTGGAACCAGGACCTTCCCGTGAGCCATTTCCCACTACTTCCGGTCTATCCTTTTCTGGAAAATTCTGCTGCCCTATTACTCGCACTCACTCCTTCTGTGAAAGGCTGCCATTTGGTCCACACGGGGCTCTTTCGCGCTCACAAACATGGCGCTGCTCATTCTCAGCTCAGCTGCCTTCCTTGGCTCCTTGCTGCCCTCGGGATAGAGTTCAATGCCTGCATCTGGCATTCAAGGCCTTGGACAGTCTGCACCCTGAGGCTCCGCTCCACAAACACCCTTGATGTTTCATCGCCCAACCTCCAAGTCTGGCCTTCCGTGCTCCACCCTTCCGTGCTTCACCCTGGCATTCTTCCTGGAGGGAGGGAGTCTTCCATCCATATTTGGACTTCCACAGCCCGTCTCTGCTTCCCCCCACACCTTTGGTCTGTTTTTTGAGATAAGGTCTTCCTATATAGATCAGTCTGGCCTTGAACTCACTACGTAGCCCAGGCTGAGCTCAGTCTTCCAGGCATCCTCCAGCCTCCTCCTCCAGGTGCCAGGATTACAGGTGGGCAATACCTATCTCTTCCTTTAGCCCATCCCTGACCCCATGTGGCTGGGAATGTGTGTTCTCTGCTCTGTCCCCCCAGACTATGTGGCTTTTAAAGCCAGGGCCTGGAGATGAGGCCTTGCTAAACCTCAGCATTATTTAAAACAGAGCTTGTGGACTGAGGATGCAGCACAGTGGTAGAGCATTTGTGTAGCGTGTAGAACGTATGCATTCGGTCCCCAGCACTGCCAAAAGCCAATAACCACAAACAATAAAAACTGGGCATAGCACGCACACATGTAATCTCATTTCCTCCAGAGGCTGAGGCAGGAGGACTTACAAGTCTAGCCTGGGAAACTTAGTAAGGCTAAGTTTCACAATAAAATTGTTTTGTTTTCTTTCATTTGAGACAGGGTCTCACTACGTATTTTAGGTGAGCCTTGAACTCTCAGAGATCCTCCTGCCTCAGCTGAATGCTGGGATTACAGTAGCACGCACACATGTAATCTCATTTCCTCCAGAGGCTGAGGCAGGAAGACTTACAAGTCTAGCCTGGGAAACTTAGTAAGGCTAAGTTTCACAATAAAATTGTTTTGTTTTCTTTCATTTGAGACAGGGTCTCACTACGTATTTTAGGTGAGCCTTGAACTCTCAGAGATCCTCCTGCCTCGGACTCTGAATGCTGGGATTACACGCGTGCACCCACCACACCTCACACACCATAAAATTTTTTAAAGGGCGAGGAAGGTAGCTCAGTGGAAAATCCCTTGTCTAGAATGTGTGAGGCCCTAGGTTCAAGTCCCAGTTGCACAAACAAAACAAAAATGGGCCTTGGTCTCCAGAGGGTAGTTGACAACTCCGTGAAACTGGCCTAGTCCATTGGTACTGTCTCAAGTGAACCCTGCACACTAACCCCTTCCTTTCCACCTGGACTCACCCACCTTCATCTCCCCACACAAAATCGGGGTCCCCCAACGTCTCAAAAGCAAGAGGCATGCAGGGAGCCTCCTTGTGTTCAGGGTTACTACAACTGAGGCAGACGTGGCCCCTGTGGACAGTGGCAGAGCCACATCATCGGGACGGTGCCCAGCCACGGGGGACACGCACGGACCACCTTTAGGGACGATGCGTCCGTCCGGGAGCTTGATGTCCTCAGTGCAGCGGCGAGAGATCAGGGTGACTGGCGGGAACTGGCGCAGGCTCTCCTTGATGCACATGGTGGTGAAGGGCAGCTGGGTCAGGTCGTCCCTGGGGAGAACGGCACTGTGACTGCCCCGAATGTGCACTCCCACACACAGAAACACCACACAGACACAGGCACACGCAGACACACACACACACACACACACACACACACACACACACACACACACACA